GTCCCTCAAAGAAATATTTTAAAAAATACTTTTTTTAAAAAGAAACTATTGCCTTCTTTCAGCATTCAAAGCAGGCTCTGGTTTGAATGGAAAGCATAGTGTTTTGGAGCTCTGCATCCCCATTTACTCAGTTGTAGACATACCATCACTAGCTTGTACTGGCTTTGAGTCTCTCTGACACACACACATTTTATATCCCCCAGAACTTTGTGCTCGTGGGGCACTGAAAGGCTCCGTGCACATGGGGTGGCAAGCAGCGAACATGCATACTGTCCAACCCTCCTCTACTCACACACCTACTTCATTATGCCATCAAACTTTACTTATGAAATATAAGTTCAAAGATAAAATTATTAAGACTTTAAGGACAGTGATAATGGACAAACCACTTCTACACCTGGGCCCCTGTGCAAGTGTATGTGTAAGTCACCACGAAGCTGGCCCTGAACCGCTGCACCTTGCATTTGGAGAAACAGTAGCCAACAGCCTACCCTCCCATCTGCTTCGCCCTGCATTCTTCTTGGGCTCCTCATGACCAGGAGGTGTTCCTGTATGTGGATTACTCCAGTGTCTTTTCTTAGTATTCATGGAGAATGAGAGAAGATGGAGTTTTGATAAAGCTTTTATGCTTTTCCTATGTTGGTGCATTTTAGAGAAGCCTTTATAACCCCACTTAATGAAAGGGCAGAGAGAAAAATTCCTGACTATTCTATTGCTTCCTATAAGTGCAAATGGAGGAGATTTTACATGGCAGAGAGTATCCAAGAGTGACATTCTGGTAGAAAAGATGAGGACATGCTGGAAACATCTTCAGAGAGAAGCCTGGACAGGCTTCATTCCCTCGTCATTCCCAGTGCCTCAGCTCTGCCTTCCTATTGTTTCAATTCAGATGTGGTAGCATGTGAATCATGGAGTCATAACAATTTTGAATTGGATGGGACCTTGGAGATCATCAGATCTAACGCATTTTGCAGATGAAATTAGATGACTTTCCTAAGGTCATTGCACTATGTAGTAGTGGCACCAGGCAAGGACCTTAATTTTTAACTTTTATCCCCATCATTAGCTACAGTTCTCTTTCTCATAAAGATTAAAATAATGGATATCCTGTGTGATTTTAGTTATAAAATTTTCTGGAAATATCAAAACTGTAGAAAGGGAAAAGAGATCAGTGATTGCCAAGGATTAAAGATAATGGAGGGCAGAGGAAGTGGGTGTGTGGGACACTGGCCATGGATCCATGTCTTGACTGTGTCAATACCAACATCCTGGTTATGATTTTGTGCTACAGTTTTAAGAGATACTCATTAGGATGGACCGGATAGAGGACACACAGGGCCTCTCTGTATTATTTCTTACCACTGCATGTGAGTCTGCATTCTTTCAAAGTAAAAAGTTGAATCCCATGACAATAAACTATTTTTTAAAAAGTTGAATCCTTAAAAATCAACAAAGACACATTTCAAGTTTAACTTCAATCATTTGAGATAAATAATAAAGGAAGCCAAATACTAAATTGGTAATAACTGAAATATGGAAACGAACACTGTTCTCTTATATGAGCAATTTGAGGTTGTATGTGGGCCCTCATATTGCATGCTATTCCTGATTTTTCATTAATATTATTATTTCATTATTATTAAACCTTACTCTTCAAAGTTATTCCTGTCAGAGGCTATCTGACAACACTCTTCCAAAAAGGCAAGAAGTCATAGTGCCAGAATACATGCAACAGAGGTGACATTGGTGCCACTGGTCTCCAAGAATATTTATGTTGTTTTGAATTCAGAGAGATCATGAATCTCAGGCATCACCTCAAAGCCAACTTGTTTCATCTCTTCAGGATGTCTCAGTTCAGGAGAAGAGAAACTCTTAAAAGAATGTCCATTGAACACAAAAGCACCGAGCAAAGATTATTGAGGCTATCTAAAGCTGTTACAACCCAGCCTGAAATACTAGAGTGTTCCACATTTATTAGCCTCATCTCATACTATATGGATTGTTAAATGATGGCATCATTTCCATGAGGAAGCAGTGGAAGTGCTTCTCTACCAGCCTTCTCTACTACCATCAGAGAGGAATTATTCATTCCTTGGTCAGATATACACTCTACAATAGATGTTTTGGAATAGAACTTTAAGGAAAAGAGAGAAGGAGAAAAAAGACAGAGACATTAAAATTCACAGTAAGAATAATGAATTGCCTTCAAAGGTAGTTCTAAACAGGGGAGCTCTTTGTTCTACAGAATTCCCAGTGGGACAATGTTGATCCCATTTGGAAGTAAAGCTAAAGCATGTTCACTAAGAACCAGAATATATTCAAGGATGGCTGTGAATTGCCTTTCACAGGCATAAGTGCCCTGTAAGCAATCATGAAACAGAGGTTACGTATATTATTTGAATTATTTAGAGTGTGGATATGTGAACAAAATGGATCAGTGTACCACATTGGACATTTGTCCTGATTTTGACTTTATTTTAGCATTTGGAACAAAAGTAAGGTAATCTGGGCTTCCTCTTCACTTAAGAAGAAAACCATTTCCTTCTAAAAGGAAAAAGAGGGGCACCTGGGTGGCTTAGTCGGTTAAGCATCCGACTTTCGCTTAGGTCATGATCTCGCGGTGCATGGATTCGAGCCCCGCGTCGGGCTCTATGCTGACTGCCAGCTCAGAGCCTGGAGCCTGTTTCAGTCTGTGACTCCCTCTCTCTCTGACCCTCCCCTGTTCACGCTGTCTCTCTCTCTGTCTCCTAGAAATTAAAAAAAAAATTAAAAAAAATAAAAATAAAAAAATAAAAGGAAAAAGAAATTAAATTTTTGTTTCATTTATTTATCCATTCATTCTTAAAAAAAAAAACAAAAAACACAATTCTACATAAGCACTATACTAGCTAGGTACTGGGTATACAGCTATAAAGAATAATTATAGCAGTAAAAGTTTATCTAGTTTATACAGGTAGCTGCCACTATTATAACAAATATTAAATCACACCATTTTTCTACACCATCACCCCTGTAATGTGGCTCGGAAAACTGAACTTTCCCAAGGTTACAAGCTAACAGGTAGTAGGCTGGGATATGAACACAGGAATCCTAGCTCCATAGATAAAATTGTAACCGTTACACTGTGCCTTACATGGAATTGATATAGCCCCAATCTCACGAAGCTTTTCCGTTTATTTGGGGAGCCAGATATTAAGCAAAGAATGATGATGAATATTAAGAACTAGAAGTGCAAGCTACAGAGAGAGTGAACCAAGGGGAAATGGTCTTTCCCATTTTCTCTTCCTGAATGTGTTATCCCTCCTCCTCTATGGCCCTTTACCTTCGTGTTTCTTCTCATTGATTCAGCCAGGCATGGAGCAGGCACTCACCTTGCACTAAGTACGGCTATCTTCAGCATGATGCATCTGGAAACTTGCAAATGCTCCATCTCTGATCCATGGTAAAGAGCAAAGCTGTAAAATATGTCTGGCAATCAGGTGTCAATTTCCTAGCTGCTTCTTGTGGGCATTTAAAAAAAATGCTTGCTGTTGGTATTTTATATTTCTTGCTGCTGATATTTCCACTAGAAATGGTTTTATTAATGTGGGGATTCAAAAGGACAACGTGAAAGGAAAATTAAATAATTTTCTTGTACTACAAAAAAAGAAAAAAAACGTCCACATGGGAACTGATGGTTAGAGCTCAATCTTCTTTGCTCATTTGGAGCCCACAAGCCTAATTAACACTGGCTTGCAATCAAGGCTATTATTCTAGTGGCTACTTCTTCCACGGACCTGCCACCATAGCACTTCTGACCTTACTTCTTGTTTTCAAGTTCACACAATAGATCTTTTCTAAAATGTCTCTTTTTCCCTCATGAGAATGAAACTAGTGGTATTAGCGATCTCCCCCACGGCTTTTCTTTACAGATTCCTTTTTTCTTATTCCTAGGGTTCTCTCTGGAATGAAAGCACTTTTTCTATTTTGCAAAGCCCTCCTTTCACTCTGGAAAAAATTGGAGTTTGGTACTAAGTAAAGTGGAGGCCCTCTGACAGTAAAATGATTAGAAAGCACTTTGTTCAGAATTCTAATCCCCTGCCCCACTGTGAGCACAAGATTACTCCCCAGAACAGATTCAAGGGACCTTATAGGAAAGTGGAAGGGCACAAGCCTTGGAGTTAGGTTGGATTTAATTTAATATTCCAAATCCATCACTTTCTAGTTGTATAACTTTGGGCAAGTTCACCATACTCTCAAAGCCTCAGTGTCCTCATCTGTAAAACAGGGGTAGCCTCTACTTTGCAGAGTTGTTTCCAAGATTTGGTAAGTACTGAACAGCGTCTACAGCAAAACGGGTCTCTGTCTCTCTCTCAAAATGGGTTTTTCTCTCTCTTTCTCTCTGTCTCTTCTCCCTTTCTCTCTGTTCCCAATCGCTCTCTCTGTCTCTGTCTGTCCACCATCCCCTTCTCCTTCCTTCCATTCTTTCCTCCCTTGCTTCCTTTTCTGATTCCCATTTATTTTTCTCCACTTAAACAACTTTCCCTGCTTTTCCTTTTTCCACTCAGAGTGTTTTAAACTGTTTCCCATTTCCCCTGCTTAGTTTCACATACTGTTTTTATTGCATTTGCAATCCATGTGCTGACACTGCACCATTCCAACCCTCCATTTTCCCATTTATATCAAATACTGTGCAGAAAATTCATCCTGCTCAGTGTCAAATGCCAGATCCACTTTAGATATGCATTATTTTTGCTCAAGGTAGATTTTATTCCCACTGCCTTTCCCATAGCATTCACAGCACACGCACACGCACACACACACACACGCACACACATATGTGCAAGTGCACATGGGCGCGCACACACACACACTTTTCCCATCACTACTTGACCAATAAATCAAGTAACTATCTCCTCTTTATCCCCTTTAGAGATGGCTAGAAATATTAGATGGTGAGAGCTGGATCAGTTCAGAGTGAATTAGTGCCCAAAAGCTAGAAAGCATGGAGCTTATCTGATCAGATTTCTTCTTTTTTTTTTCCTTGAAACTTATCCCAGCTTTTGAATTTGTAGAAGTGAATGAATAATTTGGTGAGAAACAGATTTCTCAAAAGAGTTGCATAGTCTCCAGCTTCTCTTTAGGGCTGAATTTTCAACTAGGAACACTCTTTCCTTCTGGCAGTTGAAGAAATCAGGTCCAGAGAAATAGAATGGACTCGCAGCTGAAGGACACACAGCTGAGGGAAACACATGTGCTCTTAGAAATAAGTGAGTCTGTAGTCAGCACCATTTGAGTTCAGCTTAGGCCTAATACAGACATCAGTGTTCACTCTGGTGTTAGGTTTCTGCAGACTGAAGATCTAACATGTAATCTATGACCAAAACTGTCAGAGAAACCCATCTTCAGAAAAGGCCCCCACACCCTGACTCCAAAGAATTACTTCTTTGGGGACACTGATATGGAAGAACTCTGGGATATAATGGTTGTGTTCCTGTGCCTGTCTACACATGCTACAGTCTCTTCAAAGGAAGGTTGTGTGTGTCTTACCTATAGTCCTAACCCCTGATCCCCTAGCGCAGTGCACATGGCATGCCCTCAGGAAAGACTTTATAAGGCAAGTAGAACTAGCGGATGTTAGCTCAGCCAAGCTTAAAGAATGAAGCACAAGATTACTACATTAAAGTTTCAAGCTACAACAACAAACCGGTTATCACATTCTGCTTTGTAGCCCCGATCAGATTCAACACAGATCCAGGCTCAACACAGATTAAAGGTAGAGACAGTGGCCAGAGGCTTTTGTCCTTTTTGTCCCTTTTGTCCTTTTGAAACAGTGCTCTACCTGTTCCATTTATTTGGTTTGTTGTTTCACTGGATTGTGCATGCCATGCAGTATCCCCCGACTGAGTTGAGACAGTCAATTTATGTGCAGCCAGAGAGATCCTGGGAAGCAGTCATGTTGCACTGAAACAGTTTTTTCCTGACAGGAGTCCATTAGCAATGAGCTCCATCACTCCCAGGAAGATTTCTCTTTCTAAGACCATAACCCAGTTATTCATTAGAGCAGCATTTCTCCTAGAGCCCTGGAGAGGGAATCAGGAATTATGATTTCTACTTCTGCCTCTCCTCATACTTGGCTTTGGGACCTTGGACAGGTCACTACACCTCTCTAGCTAGACCCATCCAATGGCACCTTGAATTTCTGTTTTTACATGTGTTATCTCATTTTTTCCTTAACATAGTTCTTTAGGTTTGGTGTTGCTACATATTCTTTCAACAGCAAACATTTACTGAAACCTATGCCTTGTTCTGTACCAGATGATCAAACTTACGGCTCAGAGAAGTTCTGTAGTGAAATTTCTTCTAATGATGGCAATCTAAGTGATTTTAATTAACCCTCTCACTGTAGGTAACAAAAAGGAGGAATAAAATATAAAAAAACATCTTCTTAAAAGCACATGAAAACTAACAAGACCCCAGAATAACTTGGCCAGAGTCTAGGAGTTGCTCAGGATCTAGAGAAGGAAGCCCATAGAAGGAAGAATACAAACTACTTTTGCCCTGAACACTTGCTTATTTGGAATAAACAGCTATAAAACCAATTTGTGGTTCTGGTGACCTTGAAAGAACAGAAAGAAAAAATAAAACCTTGGGACCTGCCCCATCTGGGGAGTCCAGCAATCGTTCCACATTAAGGTGGGACCCCAAGGGGCTGATCTCAATAGTGAACGAGAAACAAACCTTCCTGGACTTGCAGCCTACCCATGGAGACTTAAGAGGTCCAGGGAATCTCAAAGTGTAAAATTTATTTAATATTTATTTAGTTTTGAGAGGGAGAGCATGAGCAGGAGAGTGGCAGAAAGAGGGAAACAGAGAATCTGAAGTAGGCTCCATGCTGTCAGCACAGAGCTCGAAGTAGGGCTCAAACTTACAAAGTGTGAGATCATGACCTGAGCAGAAATCAAAAGTCGGATACTTAATCAACTGAGCCACCTAGGCACCACCAGGCAACCTCAAAATTTAAATTCAGATGAATGTTGTCTGAGATTAGTATTGCCTCAAGTGCCCGGCAGAGGCCAAACCCTCTTTGGAGAAAAGTATCATTATTGTAGGCCTCCAATATTTGAAAATACAATATCAAGTACAGAAATGTAAACAAAGCAATTGATCTGGCTGAAAGATAGAGTAGATGATAGGAGAGAAGGAAAGGTCTGTCGAACAATTAAGATGGCATTAAAATGGAATAAACACTCAATTAAGAATTTGGGTTTTATCCTATAAGCCAGTGTTTTTCGAAGGAGTCCATACTCTTAGGGTGGAAGAAGTAAAGACACAAACTTGAGATGCAACATTTCTCCAAGAAAAGCACCCCCCCCTTTTGGATAAGAATCAAAACAAACAAAACAAAAGCAAACAAGCAAAAGTCATAAAATGAATACAGGTATATTCTGGACCATTTTGATTACCACCATAGTTGTTGCGCTGTCACCTTAGATCCAATGCAGGAATTGAATATTCAGTAGGTTCCATTTTGTAAATAAGTGCTCACATTTGCTATAAAATAGTCAAGAGTGGTAGAACTCATGGTATATTAGTGATCATATGCCTAGTTAAAAAACTGCTCAAGTGCAATTGTAAAGAATAATTATGTGTAGTCCAAACAAACTGTACAACCAGTTTGCAACCCAACCTAAAGTGACAGCTTTCAATCTGTAATGTGTTAGTAAGTTGATGTGACTGTATAGGGTTACATTTACAGCCTAAGGGTAGAATGGCAATTGTCCTACATTGAATTTATTGTATTTATGTTGAATTATTTTACCAGTTATTATTAAAAACTCTTTCTTTCTCATTGATAATTGAAATAAAACACATCCTAGAACATGACTTTTGTTTATGTTGGATGGTAAATGAGGCTCTGATGGGAGATCATGAAAACAATATTGCACTGGGGAATGATGAGCCCTTTGGTGTTTCTGGTTTATAACAAATTATCTAAGACATATTTTTTAAATAAAATGTTTTGTTTATGGCAAATAAAGGCCATACAACATCATGAGGCACTGTACAAAGATGTTTTTGTTTAGATTGAACAGACTTCTAGATTTAAGAGAAAATGGAAACAATGATAGAAACCTTGACTTATGGTCAAGTCACTTCAAAATGGTCTGACTGAGTCATTTTCAGTATTTATTGACATCTTTCCACTGGTTCTGGTTGCAGCCATGAATATATTCCAACAATTATAAGAAACAAAAAATAACTTCAAATATTATTTTCCCATTCACAAACCCAGAAATAATTGGATTAGGCAATCATTTAATGCAGATTTAAATTTGCCATAATGATCACCTTATCTTAGAGTTGCCAATATAGCCTCAGAGGGATTTTAAAATTGACATTTGATGATGATTGCACAGGCAGAATTAGAATAAATAGGTGGTCTGAATATCCCAAAATGGTAAACAATACTGTGATATCACGTAATGTCATTATGGACAGCATCCTTGAGTAAGCAGCGTTATCCTACTTAGTATTTTTAAATTTAAGATACAGAAACAGATTAAAGATATAACATAGAAAGATTTAGCTTTCTATTTCTACTATTAACCTTCCATATTAAATTAATGTTGTTAATTAGAATTGTATTGGCTTTATAGTTTTGCTGATATTTAATTGCATATTTGTATTTGTTTTTGGATTTAGATTTGTGTATTATCTATGAGAAAAAGGAGTTGTTATACCTAGCCTTATTTATCTATAGGTTCTGTTAATAATATAATAAATAATTTAAGTCAGCACAAGGAGTCTGAAAGAATTGTTTTTCTTTTGAAAGGAAAACACCATTATAGGCCCTATGTTGCTACTAAAGGATTTAAAAGGGGGAATAGGTGCTCAGTTTTTATTTTAAATTTACCCTGAGACAGTGTGTGAAGGTTAGAGGAAAAAAGGGTAAGACCTGAGACAGTTGAATTAGCAGACACTATTCCAGGTGAGAGGTAATGAGGATTTTAACAAAAGCTGCTCCTTTAGGATGGAGAGGAACTGTGACATGCCAGCTGGGTCCCTTGCGGCTTCTTTCCTGTTCTTTACAATGTTTTGGGATGTATTTTATAAGAGCATATGGTCAGGGTTGAGAAACAGCCTTTACTGGGGAAGAGGATAACTTAGAAGCTAGATCAAGAAGCCAAGAAAGGGAGAAGGTCTCTGAATCTTCACACTATTCCACAGAATGGCAAGCAGGACACGCACTGTGGGTCTATGTTCCAGTGGAAAGATTCCCCCTACTCAGCCATGAGTCTCTGTCTTTATAGGACAAACTTGAGGAAACAGTCTTGCTTTGCAGGTTGCCCAGTACAAGACTGTCTGTATTTGAGGTGCCAGCGGTTTGGGAAGTGACCAAGAATGCTGGTTCTTCAAAATCTAGAAAGATTGGGCCCATGAAATGATGCAGTTGACCTTCTTAGAAAGAAAAAACCTCTTGGCTGTGGGAAGTGGGGCTTGGGTGCGGACCCTCCTTCTGAAAGAAAAGGAGCCCCTAGTCCCAGATGGCTCACTGTCCAAACAAGGACGTTGAGCTACCAGTGTCATTTTTGGGCAATTCTGATCATTACAACCACAACCTAAAAATGATTTTATAGAGAGAATGACTCAGACTTGGTGATAACTGGATTTGGGGGTGGGAGTGTCTGAAACATGGAAAGAAGATCCAAGAATGACTCTGAGGTTTACACCGCGGCTTGGTTTACACCTTGACTCTTGAGGCTTATTTACATATTGAGTAAATGGTGATTTCATTACCTGAGCTAAAGGACACAGGAGAAGAGAAGACTTTATGGGGAGGAGGGAGATGATGCAATCGTGGTAGGGTCTACTGAGTTTGAGATATCTATAATGCATTCATTTGTAAGAAACAGAGAGTAGGGAATATTGATTTAAAAGTTAGATGTGCTGGTTATCCTGGAAGCATGGGGGATGGATGACAATGACATTGTTCTGTGTAGACTGAGGAGAGAAGGGAAGGCAATTTTAACTAAATGTTAAATAAGAACAATTCAAGTGCAGCACATCATTTGTTGAGTGGGGATGAGGCTGGGGGCAGAAAGAAGGAAAACATATTTTTGAAGCCCAAAAGCTATCAACAGAATGAACAATTCAGACAATGTGAGAACTTCTAGGCAAGCACTAAAAGCACATTTTGCCATCTTTGAGAAGTGGCTGAGTTTAGAAAATGGATGA